AGACATGAATCCTGGCTTTGCTATTTAGTTGCAGTGATACTTTGAGCAGATTAGTAGCCATTCTGAGCCTCCTTCTACCCATCTGTAAAATGGGGAACCACAGCAATTCTTGCTATACAAAGTTGTTGGGGGATCAAGGAGGTAAACAACTGGAATATATGTGCCACTACTCTGCTGTTGGTGATCTGATTGGGGGTTGTCCTGGATGATCTTGAAGGTCCCCTCTGACTGACATCCACCTGGAACCCCTGCTCCTGCCCTTGGAAGCAAAATGCAGGGGCCCTGGTAAAGCACATAAGTAAACCAAGACCCCCGGATGGGGGGACTGCTTGCATTTGGTCTTCCCAGTGACTGTAAACCAAACACTGTCCCCTCTGTCCCTCCTAATCCACCTTCCTTTAACAGGATGAAGAGCTGGAATGACACCAGAGAGAACTGAGGGGGTCGGGCAGGGCCAGGCTTGGTGGAGGACCGGCTGTCTGGCTTGAACCTGTTTCTTGCCCTTTGGTCCTGGGATGAACTGGGAGCTCCGTGAAGGATCCTTGGCCATATGGAGGACAGAAATTAGCCAAGAGCAGAGGGTGCCAATCAATTGGTAGCCCAAGGGCCAAACCTGGCTCACAGACTTGTTTTGTGGTTTGCAAGGTTACACCGAGTTTGTTTGGTTTTTAAAATTAATTAGTTCCTTGTGAGTAAACTGTGGCCTAGTCACATTTGGATTTGAAGGCTGCAGTGTCAGGTACAGTACCAGTCCCAGCCGCCCGCCTGTGAGGTCGGCACAATTGTTAGCCATGAGGGCCAGAAGAACAAACGGAGGCAGACAGACATCGAGCAAATGGAAAAACTGGGACAGACAGCTGCACCCGACTGATTCACAAACCTACACTTCTTCCCTGCCCCTCACAGCCATTTGGCCCTGGTCACATCCTCTTGGGGCTAAAAGCATGGATTCTGGGGTGCCACTGTCTGGCTGAATTCGGGCTCCACACTTCACTATCAGTGTCACAGGAAATTATTGATCTTCTGGGGCTTCCAGTTCCTCATCTGGAGATTTAATAAAAGGAGCAGCTTCATGCAAGTTAATGCTCATAAAATGCTTAGGGCATACCTGGGTACACAGTCAGAGCTCAATAAATGCTGGCTGTGTTCCAGGTACTAAGAGTACAAAGATCGATGAGAACCCCAGCAGGGTTCAGGGTCTGCTGCAGGGTTATAGGGCAGAGTGGCACGTGAGACTCTGGTGAGAGCAGGAGAGCTGTGTCAGTGGTGCCCAGATGTTCAAACTTCAGGATTCACATTCTGGAAGGCAGAGCCCATTGCTATTTCTTTATTATTTTTTGGTACTGGGGATTGAATCCAGAGGGGTTTTACCATAGAGCCACATCCTCAGCTCTTCTTATTTTTTATTTTGAGACTGGGTCTTGCTATGTGGCTGAGGCTGGCCTCAAACTTGTGATCCTCCTGTCTCAGCCTCCTGAGTTGCTAGGATTACAGGAATGCCCTACCATGCCCAACCTCATTGCCATTTCAACTGGCCTGGGAAGCTGGACACAGGGCTACGCACCCAGCTACTTCAAGGAGGTTGAAGCCCACTTGAACCCAGGAGTTCAAGGCCAACCTAGGCCACATAGTGAGAGCCCATCTCAAAGAAAAAAAAAAGTATATATAAATAATTTTTTTTCCGTAAATAAACTGTGAGCAAAGAATAGAATTGGCTGCAAGGTGGGTACCCTGCAGGTCTGCTATATTTGCCAATAACAGAAACTAGGAAAGGTCCCCAACATAGGCTTCCTCTATGACCCTGGGAAACATGTTTTGGGAAGTTTTTTTTTTTCCAGTACTGGGGCTGGACCCAGGGCCTCACAAGTGCCAGGCAAGCTCTTTGCCACTGAGCCACGTCCACAATCCCACACACTTATTTCTAAGTTGACCTTCATGTGACCTAATGAGTGCAATTCTCCAGAAGTGAGAGCCGAGCCTGCAGTTTAATGGTAATAATGACCAAGACCAGAAAGTGTCCCTCTCCTTGGACTCTCAGAGTGTAGTGCCTGGAGGAGGAGGGTATCTGAAGGACAGAGGACTGGGCTGAGGACAGGCTAAGGGGCCAGCCCAGCTGACTCCTCTGGAACACGGGGGTTGGCCAGCCACTAGCCTCTTGCCTCACACTCTCACCTGCCTGGCCCAGTCCTACCTGACCAATCTCATGATATGTGAGGCTCCAGCCCTAGGGTCAGTTCATCTGCTCCTAAATTTTTAAAGACAAGCTGGGTACAGTGGTGCATGTCTGAAAACTAAGTGACTCGGGAGGCTGAGGCAAGTTGGAGGCCATCCTGGGCAACTTAGCAGGACCCTGTCTCAAAATGGCTGGGCTGCGGATGCAGCTCAGGGGTGAAGTGCCGTTGAATTCAATCCCCAGTACCAAAAGTAAATAAATAAATAAAAAGGTGATGACAAGTTCCAGTAAGGAGGTGACAAGTTGGAATCCTTACATACTGCTAATGGGAAGGCAAATTGGTATAGACACTTTGGAAAGCAGTCTGGCGTTTCCCCAGAAGGGCAAATAGAGTTGTATGTTCTAGCACTTCCATTCCTAAGTAGACACCCAAGAGAACAAAAACTTATGTCTATATGAAATTGTACATGAATATTCATAGCCTTGTTTATAGTAGCCCAAAAGTGGAAACAATCCAAATGTCTATAATTGATGAATGGATAAATAAAATGTGGTATGGCCATACAGTGGAATATTATACAGCATTAAAAAGGAATGTAATACTGATACGTGCTACACTATGGATGAGCCACTGGTGTAAAAAAAGCCAAGACACAAAAATCATTCACCATAGGAGTCTATTTATAGGGAATATCCAGCATAGGGAAATCTACAGACTGGAAATGGGTGAGGCTGCTGGGGCTGGGGGTGTGGGGAGCTGGGGGTGATACCTGGGGGAATGCAGGGTTTCTTTATGGCTGATGAAAATGTTCTATTGGTAACTGTAATGATGGTTGCAGAATTCTGTGAATTCACTCACAGCAATTAAATGCACTTTTTTTTTTTTTTAGCACTGGGGATTGAACCCAGGGGTGCTTTCCCATTGAGCCACATCCCCAGCTCTTTTTTATTTTTGCTTTTGAGACAAGATCTTGCTAAGTTGCTTAGGGCCTCACTAAGTTGCTGAGGCTGGCCTAGAACTTGCAATCCTCCTGCCTCAGCTTCCCAAGTCACTGGGATTACGGGTGTGCACTACCACACCCAGCTCATTAAATGCACTTTAAATTCATGGACTGTGTGGCATGTGAATTATATCTTGATGAAGTTGTTTTTTCAACCTTTGGTCTAGTCAGGAAGAGCTTCTGAGGAGGTGATATTTGAGCTTCTCTTTTTATAATTGGCTCAAAGTTCTCAAACAGTAACTGGTGACATTTTACTGAACAAAGAACTTTGCAACCACTATCTCATTGAATCCTCATAAAAGCCTGATGGGTTGTGTACTGACAATCACATTTAATAGATGAAGAAACCGAAGCACACAGAGAAGTTAGGTGATTTTCCCCAGGTCACAAGGCCTATAAGTTCCAGAACTGGTATGCAATCCCAGGTATGCCCTTTGGCACTGAGCCATCCTGTTCACCATTACCTGTCTGTTCTCTGAATTCCTGATCTTTCTCAGATTAGGAGGGTGATCTAAAGCAGAATGGAAGGGACCAGCCAAGCTTAGAGGAAGGTAGGGAAGGGCAGGCCAGGTATAGAGAAGAGTGGGCTGAGAGGTGTCTCTGGCCTTAGGGTGGGCAACACACTAACTCGGTTGTTCCCAAACTTTAGAGACACAGCAGTCTCCTAGTTCAGGAAGTGGGAGAGGCTTATTTAAAAAGCAGACTCTTAGCATGCATGGTGGCATGTGCCTGTGGTCCAGCTACCTGAGAGGTTAAGGTAGGAGGATTGCTTGAGCCCAGGAGTTCAAGACCAGCCTGGGGAACACAGCAAGACCCTTGTCTCAAAAATCAACAGCAGACTCTTGGGCCTCACTGCCAGAGGTTCTGATTCAGGTATCCAGTGTCAACAAGCTCTGTAGGAGATTCTGGAACAGACAGATGGTGCAGGGACACATTGTGACCTGTCCAGAATAACTTTAGGCCAGCACAAGAGTCCTCTGGGCAGACACCTGCAGCCCACCAGGCCTGCCTCTCCCTTCCTGACATCCATGTTCTTGTTCTCACTCTTCTCCCGGGGTCCCACCAAGTGTGACAGGTCTCCAAGCTCTGCTCCTGTTCTTCTCTCCATCCCGGGTTTCCTTGTACCGCCCCTTGTCCCTGCAAAGGCCTCATGGCCTCTTCCCCACCTTATCTTCCCGCCTGCCCCACAGGGCTTATCTTGGGGGAGTCTGCTCAAATGTTGTCTTTAATAAACCTTCCCTAACCACAGGCACGTTTCTTCAGAGTGTCCATAAGAAGAGAATGAAGAATAAATGAGAAAATGGATTCAGAGAGCATTTCAGACATTTAATAAACAGTAGAGGTTGTTTTTTCATTGCTGCCTGACCTTGGGCAGGTTGATTCCTATATCTCTAAAATGACAAGTACTCTCATGCCAGGCACTATGTTAATTTATGTATACTATTATCATCCCTAGTTTATAGTTTAAGAAAATGAGGTAAAGAGGGATTAAGAAATGGGTCCAGGTTTGCCCAGCTAGAAATTGCCAGCACTTGGATTTGAACTGAGGCCTCAGGTTCTGAGGGGTGTGTGTGTGTACTGAGAATTGGACCCAGGACCTCACACATGCTAGTCAAGTGCTGTACCTCTGAGCCACATCACCAGCCCCAGATCCAGAGTTCTCAATTGTCATGCCATACTGATGCTCATTTCTATGAGCAAATATCAAGACCAGCGCACAGGGCCTGGCATATGGTGGGTGCTCAGTAAATGCTAAAAACTGAATTGAGTTGACAGTTTCTATATCCAGAGGAGTGGGGAAAATTATCCAAAGACTTGACACGTCACGATGTCTCATGCTCTTTATTTAATAAGACTCAACATCTTAAGGTCTCTATTGAGAACAGGATGTAAAAAAAAAATAATAATAATCCAGAAAAAAAATGAAATGCTGTTCTACTCAGAGAATGGTGGTGGGTCCAAAGCCTGTCGATCTCCGTGAGTGGAGTGATCAGGAGTTTTAACCTCAGAACATTAACATGGGGCAGGGATATTGGGGGAGAAAGAAGGCTGCAGGGTAGTCAATCCAGTCCCAACCATCCCATTCCCCTATCCCTACCTTCTGAATTTCTCTCCAAGTCACTGGACTACTCATGGATGACAGGGAAAGGAGGATGTTGTAGAAGACGTTCTTGGGTATTATTTTCTTTTTGGTAGTGGGGGTTGAACCTAGGTGTGCTTTACCACTAAGCTGCATCCCCAGCCCTTTAATTTTTAATTTTTTTTTTTGAGACAGGAGCTCACCATGTTGCTCAGGGCATCACTAAAATTGCTGAGGCTGACTTTGAACTTGTGATCAGGCTCCTGCCTCAGCCTCCCAGGCGGTGGGACTACAGGTGTTCGCCACCGTGCCCAGCCTGGGTATGGTTTTCTAATCAAGATGCTACGGGGGATGGAGACTCCTCCATCCTGGCTCCAAATTCTCTTTCAATTCAGGTCACTAATCTTATCCTTCACTGAGCCCCCATAACAAATCTCAGATTGACCGGGAAGCCTTCCCTCTGAGCCCAGGGTCTTTTCTACAGAGTCAGAGAGTTTCTCACCTGAATCCGGTGGGTCATGTGTCTTTCACCCCAGAAGAACCAAGAAAATATTAGGTCAGGGGAAGTCTTCATTCAGTCCTCTCCCCTTTCACCCAGTGGCCCAGCTTTGGGTGGCTCAGAAGTCAAGACACAGGAAAGAGAACTCAGAATAATTCTGTTGATTGACCCAAGAGATCATGAATCAACCCAGTTCCCAGGGGAGGGAAAAAAAAAAGTTTAAAAGACAATCCCAACGGAGTCACAGGACCCTAATGTCGCCCCCTAATGAGACTCGGAGGCCCTTCGGACGTGGACCACTTTCTGGAACGCTTGGCGGAAGTCTTCATTGAACACGGTGTAGACGATGGGGTTGATGAGCGAGTTTAAATAGCCCAGCCAGGTGAAGAAGTCAAAGAGGGCGGGGTGGAGCCAGCAGGAATCCCGGCAGATGGGGAGGACCAGCGAGGCCACGAAGAAGGGCAGCCAGCAGACGATGAAGGCCCCCAGAATGATCCCCAGCGTCTTGGTGGCCTTCCTCTCCCGAGCAGCAGAAATCCTCTTGCGCTCCAGGACGCTGTCGGCGAGCCTGATCTTCACGTGGTTGAAGAAGAGCGGGGAGCCGGCTGCGTGCGAGTGGCCCTCGTGGAGACTGGGGTTGAGCGAGCAGAGCGAGGAGCCCGCGGAGCCCGTGATGAGCTGCGCCGTGGTGAAGCGCTTGCCATAGAGCGAGGGCGGGTTCAGGATGCGGTTCCTGGCGGCCAGGTAGATCCGGCCGTAGAGGATGATGAGCAAGATGGACGGGATGTAGAAGGCCCCGCAGGTGGAGTAGATGGTGTAGGAGATCTGAGACGTGTTCACCAGGCAGTCGGACATCTCCTCCTGAGCTTTGGCCTGCCGCCAGAAGAGGGGTGGGATGGAGATGCAGATGGAGATGACCCAGACCACGGCGATCATAGCAGCCGCGTGGCCAGCCGTCCGGCGCTTACTGTACTCCAGGGCATCGGTGATGGCCCAGTACCTGTCCAGAGCAATGACGCAGAGGTGCAGGATGGAGGCGGTGCAGCACGTGATGTCAGAAGACACCCAGATGTCACACAGGATTTGGCCAAAGTTCCAGGTGCGGGTAATGGTATAGGCGATGCTGATGGGCATGACCAAGATGGAAACCAGGAGGTCGGTGGTGGCCAGGGAGCCAATGAGATAGTTGGCCGGGGTGTGCAGCTTTCTGGTGTGCAGGATGGTGGTAAGTACAAAGGCGTTGGACAGGAGGGTGGCCAGCGTGATGATGGAAAGGACTACAGCCAGGGAGATCTTGAGCGCCTGTAGGATCCCTGGATCCCAGGCCTCCGGCGTTTCGGTAGTGTTCAGGGATCTGTTGGAGGCCTCCTGGGGAAAGCCTTCTACTGACTGGTTGGGCGTGGCCATGCTAGGTGGCTCGCTGTCCTTGCAGACTTCCACACACAAGGCTCCTTCTTTCCCAGTCGCCTGGCCTACAGAGTAAGGTCATCTTTTGGCTTCATGCTGGTAGGGGCCATCCATCAGAACAGACCACCTTGAAAGGACCTGCAGACTTGGCTAGAACACCAAGGCCAGGTGTAGTGGTGCACCCTGTAATCCCAGCAGCTTGGGAGGCTGAGGCAGGAGGATTGCAAGTTCACAGCCAACCTCAGTAACTTAGTGAGGCCCTAAACAACTGAGTGAGATCCTGTCTCAAAATAAAAAATAAATAAAAAAGGCTGAGGGTGTGGCTCAGTGGTTAAGCACCCCTGGCTTCAACCCCAGAACCAAAAAATAAAGAAAGAAAACCAAATCGACTCCCAGCTGGTAGTTAGAGGTCTTTCCTAAAACAGATGAATCCTGGCATGTCTGGCCATTCTGGAACCTTGCCCAGCAGATGGTGCAGCCCAGTGGACACATGCTGAATTTGTTAGACAATGATCAGGGTCTCACAGAAGTGTGGGCAGGGCTCTGGGATTCTGGCTTTTGGCATTTTGGCTCTTTTCAAAGCTGGAGACATCAATGTGTTGAATAAAAGCTTCAAAATTTCCCCATCCCTGATCAGAGAAGGTTCTGGATATCAGGTTGCTGCCAGGAGTTTTTAAAACTAGACTCAAAAGAAGCGCCCGCTGAGTCAGAGAGACAGTAAATCAGCCACTCGGTTCCCCCAGATTGATCTTGACACATCCTGAGGGATGCTTAGCTTGGTTCTGATTCCACTGAATGTTTTGAGCCTGAACAGACAGAACATTCCGGTTACCAGGACAGAAGAATGCAGGAGCAGGAAGTGGCAAAACACACGGATCACTGTGGGTTCATCGGGAGGGCCACACGATCAGGAGCTCTGGGCTTTAAAAAAGAAAGAAGTAAAGAGTTAGGTTCTAGAAGGACAATTCTGAAGGCTGAAATTATCAGATAGAAGGACACCGTCTCTAAGGCTGGCAACAGTGACCTGAAACTGCCTTTCCAAAGGTGTCAGAGCACAGAGGAGGGTGATATGCCCACCCCCAGGATTCCCACAGGGGACAAGGTATCACAGAGCTGGAAGTATCACAGGCTTGTTGCAAGTTTGAGAAATCAGTTCTGTAAATCATGAATCAGAAAGAATCAGAAAACATCCTTCTATTTACTCAGAAATGAAAACAAACCAAACCAAACTGTGACAGGGAGAGAAACAAAAGCCACCAGAAAAAACATCAGCTTGCCACAATGTATTTCTCAAGGGAGTGTATGTGTGTGGGGGGGTGTATGTGTGACATTTTTTATATTCATTTGAATTTTCCAAATTTTCTGGAGGAGCATGAATGACCCTTAAAACAAATAAATAAACAGGCAAAAAAAAAAAATAACAAAATGCTTTTTTGTTAAGCAAAGACATGAACTGCAAACATTTAAATCCCTGTGCATTTTTGTGATGAAAGTTCAATTCTAGAAAAAAATTTGACTTTTTTGGGGGGTGTGGGTACTAGGGATTTAACCCAGGAATGCTTGACCATTTTAGAATTTATCTACACACACTTGAAAACATTTGATCATTAGGATTATATATGAATTTGTTTCATAGTTCGAATATTTTTCAACAATGTATCTCAAAGATTCCATCCATCACCAACTCCCACTACATCATCCTTTTCTTTTTTACCCCCTGATAATGGGGATTGAACACAGAGGTACTTTACCACTGAGCTACATTTCCAGATGTTTTTATTTTTTATTTTTATTATTATTATTTTTTAAATTTTTAGACAGTCTTCCTAAATTGCCCAGGCTGCCCTTGAACTTGTGATCTCCTGCCTCAGCCTCCTAAATTGCTGGGATTGCAGTCATGCGCCACCATGTCCAGCCTCACCTCATTCTTAAGGACAACATCTTGTTCCTGGCTAAGTTTGGGAAAAGTCTGGTAGTCAGAGTTGGTAAGGCTGGCATTCCTGATAGTTAAAGGGGCAAGAGCAAAGCCCCAGAAGTCAGAAAGGGCCAGGTCTGGCCAAATGACCATGCTGGCTGAAGTGTAGAGAGCAGAGAAGCCAAAAGAGCTGAGACTCAGGACCCAGCTGGTGCAGGGAAGGGGCAGGGCGGGGCTGGGGAGGCGGCAGGGCACAGGGAAAGTCTGGTTTGGGCTGGGACAGTCAGGGCTCTAATCTTTGCTCTCCAGACTTACTGTGTGGCCTTGGGAAAATCCCTTCTCCTCTCTGAGTCTCAGGTTTCCTTCTCTGAACAGTGGCCAAACAGTGGCCACCCAACCTGCCTCCCAGGGATGCTGGGAACTTACACTGCTCCTGGCAAGGCCGGTCCTGGGTACCCAGTAAAGAGCTGAGCAATGGCAAGAATCATTACTGTTGTACCCCCTGAGCTCAGCTCAGGGCTTTGTTAGGAAGGTCAGTCTGTCTGGATGGATTGATTTGAAAACATTCAGAAGCTAAATCTGCAATGTGATATTCTCTCCCATTTCTCAATCTTGTGGGTGCTTCATCTTAAAGATATATCCTCCTGGAGAAGGGATAAAGCTTCAATGTAAGAAAACTAATTCTAAGCTATCAATCCCAAAACATATCCGAAAATTTGAAAGATAATATATTTTTTTGTGAAACTCTTGCTACGGGTCCAGGCACTGAGTTAGTCCTGGGACGAAGAGTCACCCAACCTGTCAAGGGGGCAAGTGGTCCCCAACTTATAAATGGGCCAATGGATGCTCAGAGAGGTGATGTCACCTATCCAAAGTCACCCAGCTGGAAGTGGAAGAACTGGGTCCTGAGCTCTCAAAACTCCCACCCTTCTCCACAGAGCTGTAATTCAGGCAGAAAAGCCTCCAGGAATGGTTTTGGGTCCCCTTGGTAATAGGGGACAACAGTGGTCCTCCTGCCCTCAATCATCCCAGGCTCCCCTCCAAAGCCTCTGGCTGTTTGTCCCTCCCACTTTGGTTCACAGGGAAGATGTGAGGTCCAGTTGGACTGTGTGGAATTTTCTTCCCTCCAGACAGCCTGGGCGAGTGAGGTGCCGGCATTTCCCACGGAGGCTGCTGTGCCTGCCCACAAGCTCATGCGGTCATGGGCTCCGGGCATTCCAGTGAGCTCATCTCAGCACAAGGCGTGGGCTCAGAGAGGCCTGAGAGGCTGGCAGATGAGCAAGCCCTGGTGACATCCTGGGAGGAAGGACAGGAGCAGAGTGGTGAGGACACTTGGGTGGAGCTTCGCAGGAAGCGGAGGGATTCTGAGGCAATCCCCCTCCTTTCCTGCTGCTGTCCTTCCCCATCCTGAACAAAGCTGGGCGTCCTGCCATCATGCTGCCCATGGAGACAGACGCCTCGGCTCTGTGAGCAACTCTCTCTCTTTCCCTAGAAAATACACGTGACAGCGAGAGCCATTTCCACCCAGCGGTAGGCAAGCGATTTTTAATCTGATCACATGGTGTCAGTCAATAAGAGTGGGGAGCAAGAGGAACTGTCCCCTGCCAAGAGTTGAGTATAAACCGGGGAAGCCCTGTTAGCAAACAATTTGGTGTTATAAAACTAGAGTTGTGACAACTAACTCATGACCCAGTAGTTGCACTCCTGGGTAATGCACGGCAGAGAAGCTTCTGTGCATCAGCCATCAGACAGAAACAGGAGGATCTTGGTAGCACTGACTGTAAGCAAATCAGAAACAGCACAAGCACCCAGCAACAGCAGCATGGTACAATGTGGAACATCCCCATGATGGAGGGCTATGAGAAGCCAAACAGCATTGACAAAGCTAAACCCATCAGATGGGGATTTTCACAAACAAGACTGAGTGCCAAAGTCAAAAAGAAAAGAAACCGCAGGGAGTGGTAACGCACTCCTATAATCCCAGTAACTCAGGAGGCTGAGGCAGGAGGATCACAGGAAGCCAGCCTTAGCCATTTAGCAAGACTCAAAATTTAAAAAATAAAAATAAAAAGGACTGGGCATGTAGCTGGGCCCCCCCTGGTTCAATCTCCAGTATTACAAAAAGAAGAAATAGACTTTTTCAAAGGAGAAATACATGTAGCAAGACCACAGGAAAAGCAAGTGATAAACTGATATTGGTTACCCCTGGACGGAAAAGGATGTGAGAATGTAATCATGAAGGGTCTTAAGGCTGTCGATAATGTTTGAATGATTGTGTGCGCGCGTGTGTGTATATGTGTGTGTGTGTGTATGTGTGGTGCTTGGGATGGAACCCAGAGCCCTTACACATTAGGGAAGCACTCTACCAACATGCTACATTCCCAGCCCCAATGTTCTACTTTTTAAAAGTGGTGGTGGGTAAATGGATATTAATTATTATTCTCCAATCTTTACATATAGTATATACTTATGTGTGTATACACACTACATACATGCATACATATACACACACATACTACAAGCATACATACATATGTAGGGAATGATATGATATGTTTGTAAATGAAAACAGATCTTCAGAGATCGGAGATCAGCAGGAGAGTGGGGCAGGCAAAGAAACTGAGAGAGAGAAGAACCGCCTGACTCAAAGAAGGAAGGCACCTTGCAGGCTTCCCTGTGAGGTAGGATACAAGAAATCAGAAACAGGTAGAGGGCCGAGCACAGTGGGTCACACCCGTAATCCCAGAAGCTCAGGAGGCTGAAGCAGGAGGATCTCAAGTTCAAAGCCAGCCTCAGAAACTTAGCAAGACCTGAGCAACCTAGGGAGACCCTGTTTCTAAATAAAACATAAAAAGGAGTCGAGGATGAGACTCAGTGGTTAAGCACCCCTGGGTGCAATCCCTAGTATCAAACAAAGAAACAACAAACAAAACAAACAGGAGACATAAAGGAGTTCAAGTAGATAGAAAGGATGAGGAAATAATTTTAACTTGAGGTTCTGCATCCTGTCCCAGGTCTGTCACTTCCCCAAGCCAGTCCCTCTCCCAGGCCTGTCTACTCCCAAATTTATGGGAAATCTATAAATCTCAGAGTTACTGCAAACTCACCCTCTTGTAAAAACTACCTTGTGTGCTGTTAAACATCAATAAATAGATTGTGTAAAGAGAGAGAGAGCATCGAAAGAAATGTATCATTTAGGGGATTTTCCAGCATTTTCTATTGATCAGATCATGGACACCTCATCAGCCTAAGGAGCCTGAGAACAAACAGACCACCATAAGCCTTGAGGTCACCAGACTGAGGCCATCCTCACAGACCTTCCCAAGCCCAGCCCTCACCAAGTCTCCTTCAAAACAAGAACCAGGAACCCCCAAAGCACATCCCTCCTTGAGATGGTCGGGTTCTCCTGGAGTGTGGGTCTGCTTTCCTAAATAAACCTGGGTCTCTGACACGCGCTGAAAGGCTTTGCCCTCTCCTCCACCACGGACCCCACTTGTCCTGGGTTGAGGACCTCCTGTCCGGGAACTCCTTGGGCCTCGTCCAGGGACATGTAGATGCCTATGAGTGACCTTCTACCCAGGAAGCCTCATTTGTACTAACTCAGTCTTTCCGGGCTGGGATGTGGCTCAGGGGTAGAGTGCTTGCCTCACACCCTAGGTTCCATCCCCAGCAAAGAGGATTCAAAAGGGGGATGAAAAAACCCTATTTCAATCTTTTTCCAGCTGAGCCAGTTCCAATAGACACAGCAGGCCCTGGGAATCATTGTAAGGCAGAGGAATTTCAGTTCTTTCCCACCAAACAATCCCTACTGTGGGATCCCAGCCAAGTCCATTCACCTCCTGGGCCCTTCTTCCTCATCTGTAAATTAGGGTAACAACACCTTTCTCCAAGAATTGTTCTGTGGCTTCAGCTAAGCTGGGACAACATTGGCAGAGCGGCTGGCACACAGCAGGTGTCCTTTTTATTCCTCTTAACCTGAGCTTGCTCCCCAGGGCTCATTCAGCTG